TTGGGCCGTCATGGGGCCATCTTGGAGGCCTCTTGGGCGATCTTGGGGCGACCTTGGGGGCCTCTGGGGCCGTCACGGGCCGTCGGAAAGCCGAAAAGGCGCAAATGCCAAAATCCTTCAAAAACCTAAGGAATACCAATGATGTTGGCATCGTCGGGCTTTCCTGGAGGACCTCTTGGAGGCCTCTTGGGCCGTCTTGGAGGCCTCTTGCGGGCCTTTTGTGCCGTCTTAGACCATATTGAGGCCATCTTGGGCCGTCTTGGATGCATCGTGGGGCCATCCTAGCCGTCTTGGAGGCCATCTGGGCTGTCTAGGAGGCATCTTGGAGGCCATCCTGGGCCATCTTGGCGGAACAGGCATTGACTTGTGCAGTTTACGGGTGGCCGGCGGGACGCGCCGGAGCCCCAGGGGGAGTTCTTTAGGAAAAGAACCGAAACCAAGTCCGAAAGGATCTAGCACGCCAGGCACCCCTGTGATGAATCGACAGGGGGCGGCGCATCGAAGACGCTTACGGAGAATCACCGCCGCCCCCTGCCTTTGTGGAAGCGCCTATGTGGCCGAACGTTGAGGCCAGACCTGCCAAGCTATCAGACCATGTGTTCCCCGAATCGGTTTGGAAAGCCTTCGGGGAACGCGTAGGCATTTTGAAGGTCATCTTGGCCGCCTGGAGGCCATTTTGACCCTTTCAGGCCTTCTTGGAGGACGTCTTGGAGGGCTCGTGGGCCGTCTTGGAGGCCATCTTGAGCGTTTTGGAGGCCTCTTGGGCCGTCTTCGGGCCCTCTTGGGGCCGTCTTGGGCGCCTCTGGGGCCGTTCTGGGGCAATCTTGGAGGCCTCTTGGGCGATCCTTGGGCGATCTTTGTGAGCTCTTGGGCCGTATCGGGCCGTCGGAAGGCCGAAACGAAGCAAATGCCAAAATCCTTCAAAAACCATTGGAAAATCAATGATTTTGGCCTCGTCGGGCCTTCCTGGAGGAACTCTTGGAGGCCTCTTGGGCAGTCTTGGGCCAGCTGCGAGCCACCTTCGGCCATCTTGGTGGGCTCCTGGCCCGTCTGACGCCGTCGGAAGCCGTCTGGGGGGCCACTCTGGGCCGACTTGGGGTCCTCTTGGGGTGCCCCAGGGCCGTCTTAGAGGCCATCTTGGACGTCTTCGAGGCCTCTTGGGCCGTCTTGGCGCCCTCTTGGGGTCGTCGTGGGAGCCTCTTGGGCCGTCATGGGGCCATCTTCGAGGCCTCTTGGGCGATCTTGGGGCGACCTTGGGGGCCTCTGGGGCCGTCACGGGCCGTCGGAAAGCCGAAAAGGCGCAAATGCCAAAATCCTTCAACAACCATTGGGAAATCAATGATTTTGGCATCGTCGGGCTTTCCTGGAGGACCTCTTGGAGGCCTCTTGGGCCGTCTTGGAGGCCTCTTGCAGACCTTTTGTGCCGTCTTAGACATATTGAGGCCATCTTGGGCCGTCTTGAATGCATCTTGGGGCCATCTTAGCCGTCTTGGAGGCCATCTTGGCTGTCTTGGAGGCATCTTGCAGGCCATCTTGGGCCATTTTCGTTATTTTTCCCAACCATCCTGTGGTGTTGGGTCCTCGTTTTGAAGAAACGGTCCCCGCGTCTCCTCTCTTTCTCTCCTCCTCCTCCCCCTCCTCCTCCCCCCTCCCCCTCTTCCTTGCGTTTCACCCACCCAGTACAGCGTTTCGTGGCCCCATAGGGAGCTCCACCGAAGGCCCCCAGTGGCTGCGTTCGCATGGCGGCCGCGGGCCATTTCGGCACATCCCTCGCGAGGATCGTGGCCCCATAGGGAGCTCCACCGAAGGCCCCAGTGGCTGCGTTCGCATGGCGGCCTCGGGCCATTTCGGCACACCCCTCACGAGGATCGTGGCCCCATAGGGAGCTCCACCGAAGGCCCCCAGTGGCTGCGTTCGCATGGCGGCCTCGGGCCATTTCGGCACACCCCTCACGAGGATCGTGGCCCCATAGGGAGCTCCACCGAAGGCGCCCAGTGGCTGCGTTCGCATGGCGGCCTCGGGCCATTTCGGCACACCCCTCACGAGGATCGTGGCCCCATAGGGAGCTCCACCGAAGGCCCCAGTGGCTGCGTTCGCATGGCGGCCTCGGGCCATTTCGGCACACTCCTCACGAGGATCGTGGCCCCATAGGGAGCTCCACCGAAGGCGCCCAGTGGCTGCGTTCGCATGGCGGCCTCGGGCCATTTCGGCGCACCCCTCACGAGGATCGTGGCCCCATAGGGAGCCCCACCGAAGGCCCCAGCGGCAGCGTTCGCATGGCGGCCTCGGGCCATTGCGGCACACCCCTCACGAGAATCGTGGCCCCATATGGAGCTCCACCGAAGGCCCCAGTGGCTGCGTTCGCATGGCGGCCTCGGGCCATTTCGGCGCACCCTCACGAGGATCGTGGCCCCATAGGGAGCTCCACCGAAGGCCCCAGTGGCAGGGTTCGCATGGCGGCCTCGGGCTATTTCGACACATCCCTCATGAGGACCGTGGCCCCATAGGGAGCTCCACCGAAGGCGCCAGTGGCAGGGTTCGCACGGCGGCCCCGGGCCATTTCGGCACACCCCTCACGAGGATCGTGGCCCCATAGTTGTGCTGCTTCAACAACCGCGCCTGGGCGTCGTACTCCGCCTTGTCGACGTGCAACGCCACCTCCTCCCTCATGGCTCTCAAGGCCTTCTCCTGCTTCTGCTCCTCGGTGAGAGGGGCGCCGTCCTTGTCGTCGTCGGCGCCCGCGAAGACGGCCACGAACGTGCCCCTGAGCATGTCGGGCTCCGGCGGAAAGCCGTGGCCACATAGGGAGCGCGGGCCAAGATGGCATTCACAATTGCAGTATTTTCACAACAGCATATGGTTGGGTCCTTCGCCAGGCTAATTTGAGGATCTCCCGAGCGAAACGGCAGTTTTTGGCGACGACGGAGCGATTTTCCGGGTGGCTGGCGGGACGCGCCGCAGCCCCAGGGAGGATTCTTTTTGGAAAAAGAACCAAAACCAAAACCGTAATAGTTTGGCACGCCAGGCACCCCTTCGATGAATCGACAGGGGGCGGCGGACCTTGGGGCCTTCGGCCCATCTCGCCACCGTGCCTAGGTTGTGGATCAGTGGCCTCTTGGATGTTCGTTGGGGTCTCTTAGGGAGCCTCTGAGGAGAGTCTTGGAGGCAAGTTTGAAGCCGCTTGGGGCCTCATGGGGACCGTTTGGGGACCTCGTGTGGCTTTTTCTGGGCCTCTCAGGGCCTCTTGGGAGCTTCGTCGGGGCTTGCTGGCGATCTCGGGGGCCGCCTTGGGGCAGAGGTCTCGAAATCTCAGCTCGAGCTCACCATCTTGGGCTCATCTCGGGGCCCTCTTGCGGCCTTCTTGGGCTTGGGTCATCTTGGAGCCCTCTTGAACCGTCTTGGGGCCCTCTTGCGGGGCTCTTGGGTCGTCTTGGGGCGATCTCGGGGGCTTCCTGGGCGGTCTTGGGCACTGTGAAAAACCAAGAGGCGAACATGATACGCGCTTTCCTGAGAGAATGGGGCGATCTTTGCCTTTGGGGTGCTCTCGGGACCCTCTTGGGGCGTCTTGTGGGCCCCCTGCGCCGTCTTGGGGCCATAATGGGCCGGCCACCTTGAAGCTGTCCTGGACCGCTCTGGGGCCCTCTTTGGCCATGTGAGACGGTTCTTGAGACGCTCTCGAGGGTTCGGGAGGTCGGCCGAGGGAGCTCGAGACAGCCCTCAGGAGCCCCCAGTCCCGGCAGCGGCTGGGAAATTGTGGGGTGTCTGGGTCCTAAGAACCTTACAACCCCTTTACTTTTCGGGGCCGCAGCGCTGCATGAGCCTTGGGGCATTCCACTACGCGTTGAAGGCACGGAGGCGGATGCAGGTGACGCGCACTCGACGCCCAGGATTCGCGCTCTCTCTCGGGACGTCCTCAATTTACTCAGGACTCGTGCTCTCGCCTTAGCCTTTTCCCAATTCACAAAGTCCGCTTGAACGCTCTGGCCGCACGACCCGCCTGTCAGGGCCAAGCCGCCAGACCAGCTAGTTAAAGTCGCCCGCCCGACACGCCCGTTAGGATCCGCCGGTTCGCTTGCTTGAAGCCCGCCTGGCGGCTTCAATATCCCGCCCGACCCGCTCGCTAGGTGCTAGGGTCCAACCGCCCAACCCGCACGTCAGGGTCGCGTGCCTGGAAACCCGCCCGCCCGCTTTAATGTCCCGCCCGCCCGACCGGCCCGTCAGGGCCGACCTCCTGTTAGGGCAGGCCCGCCTGTCAGGATCCGTTTGCCGTAATATTGTTCTTCTTTCCTCGCCCTCCTGCTAAATCCTCTTCGCCTTCGATCCTCCCTTCCTCTTGCCCCCTCACTTTTTGTTTCAGCCTCCTTTACTCGTTCTCTCAATTCTCCTTTTCCCCCCTCCTTCTCCTCCTCCTATTTTAGGGGCTACACCAACTACACGTGGCAAGAAAGTGAAATATACCACCCGAAGACCGAAGAGGGTTAAACGAATGGGGCTTGTATCGAGGGTTTAGGACAAACATGTTGGATGACTCGCGACGATCGAAAAAAAAACACGATTGTGGTTGGTGTCGTTGTCGTCGTTGGTGGTTGCCGTCGCCCTCGCCATGGTCGTCTTATTTGTCGTCGGCGTCAGCGTTGGCGTAGTCACTATCCCTCCTTGCCAGAGCGAAACAACGGGGGTCCATACTCTTCCTTGCAACAGGGTGCGGGGGGTCCTTGGGTTGCTGAGCCCCCCCTGACTCCCGGAGAGGGGAGGAGGGCGGTTTCTACCCACCTCCATCCAGGCCCAGGGGGGAGGGTGCGGGGGGTGGTCCCCCAGCCCCTTTGGTGTCGCAGTTGGGTCCCTGGTGTTTGTTTCGATAGGGGGCGGGGAGCCCCCTGGTTTCGGAGGATCCCTACGGCGTGTTTTTCAGTTCAGCGCCCGTGAAACGCGCTCCCTCGGAGGACTGACCTGTTTTCTATGAAGGTCCCTCCTCCTGTTGGGGCTGGCGGCGGCTGAAGGCGTTCATCGAGCAGTTGCTTGTCGTGGACTCGAGCGTCAGGCTCACCGCCGAGCAGGACGCGGCTCGTGTGGTGTTGTCCTCCCTCCACGCGCGCCTCTCCTTGCCCTTCGTTCTGAACTGCTCGCTCCTCCCTTGCGCTGCGGCGTCCTCCTGATCCTCGTGGCCCCGTACCACTGCTGCTCCATGCCCTCCTGCTCCTCCTCGTCCACTCGCTCGCTCATTCAAAGAGTTGGTATGGCCACATAATCTGGGCGCAGTGAGATCTGATCGCGTGCTGGCCCCTGGTCATTGCGGGCCGACACCACACGCAATACCCATGCTAGGGAGCGAACAGGTGATTGTGTTATGGCATGAGGCGAGTTATTCTTGAGGCAGGTTGGGATTGTCTTGGGCCGTGAGGTCTTCGTGGCTGTCCGAGATCTTGTTATAGACAATATTGCGCCCGTCTTGAATTTTCAGAATATGTTTAAGCATTACCTCTGAGCAATGCCATATTGTAGAGGCTCGTGCTGCCGGCGTAGAGCTAGATCGCAGCATCAAACTCATCATCGATAAGATAAGTGGACACACGAACCGAAGGCCGCAGAAGGGGAACAAGGAGGCAGCAGGTTAAAGTGGGGGATCAATCGGCACCCAAGTTCTTGACGCTTCGCGTATCCCCACCAGCAGAATTTCAACTCGGCGACTGCGAATCCGCGTCCGCCCGCGACCAAATTAGCTCGGCGAAAGACCCAACCATACGCAGTTGTGACTACCACAATTGTGAATAACATCTTCGCCCGCGCTCCCGATGTGGCCACAACTTCCCGCCGGAACCCGACATGCTCAGGGACACGTTCGTGGCCGTTTTCGCGGGCGCCGACGACGACGAGGACGGCGCCCCCCTGACCGAGGAGCAGCAGCAGGAGAGGTCTCTGACAGCAATAAGGGAGGCTGCCACTGGGGCCTTCGGTGGAGCTCCTATGGGGCCACGATCCTCGTGAGGGGTGTGCCGACATGGCCCGAGGCCGCCATGCGAACCCTGCCACTGGGGCCTTCGGTGGAGCTCCCCATGGGGCCACGATCCTCGTGAGGGGTGTGCCGAAATGGCCCGAGGCAGCCGTGCGAACCCTGCCATTGGGGCCTTCGGTGGAGCTCCCTATGGGGCCACGATCGTCGAGAGGGGCGTGCCGAAATGGCCCGAGCCGCCGTGCGAACCCTGCCACTGGCGCTTTCGGTGGAGCTCCCCATGGGGCCACGATCTTCGTGAGGGGTACAACGTTGCCACTGGGGCATTCGGTGAAATGCAGCCACTGGAGCCTTCTGCGGAGCTCCCTATGGGGCCACGAAACGCTGTACTGGGTGTGCCGAAATGGCCCGAGGCCACCGTGCGAACGCAGCCACTGGAGCCTTCGGTGGAGCTCCCTATGGGGCCACGATCCTCGTGAGGGGTGTGCCGACATGGCCCGAGGCCGCCACGCGAACGCTGCCACTGGCGCCTTCGGTGGAGCTCCCTTTGGGGCCACGATCCTCGTGAGGGGTGTGCCGAAATGGCCCGAGGCCGCCATGCGAACGCTGCCACTGGCGCCTTCGGTGGGGTTCCCTGTGGGGCCAAGATCCTCGTGAGGGGTGTGCCGCAATGGCCCGAGGCCGCCATGCGAACGCTGCCGCTGGAGCCTTCGGTGGGGCTCCCTGTGGGGCCACGATCCTCGTGAGGGGTGTGCCGAAATGGCCCGAGGCCGCCGTGCGAACGCTGCCACTGGCGCCTTCGGTGGAGCTCCCTATGGGGCCAGGATCCTCGTGAGGGGTGTGCCGAAATTGCCCGAGGCCGCCATGCGAACGCAGCCACGGGAACCTTCGGTGGAGTTCCTTATGGGGCCACGCAGCGCTGTTCCGGGTGGGTGAAACGCAGGGAGGAGGGGGGAGGAGGGGGAGGAGGAGAGGAGAGGAGGAGGAGAAGAAACGCGGGGCGACGTCTCTTCAAAACGAGGACCCAACACCACAGGATGGTTGGGAAAAAATATCACCCCCAGCCCTTTTTAAAAACCGACGCCCAGGAAACATACAGAGGAACAGAGGGCTCGGAAAGCGGGAGAGGATGGCGGAGGAATAGAAAGAGGAGGGGGAGGAGGAAGAGAAGGGAAGGAGGAGGAGGAGGACCAGGCGGAACAGGATACATATAAGGATGATGGTGATGATGATGCGGATGCTGATGTTGATGCTGATGGTGATGATGAGTGACGGTGAGGATGAGGATGGGGATGAGGATGGGGATGATGATGAAGATGAGGATGACGATGACGGTGATGATGATGTTGATGATGATGTTGATGATGATGGTGGTGATGGTGGTGATGATGATGATGATGATGAGAGGGAGGATGATGAGGAGGAGGAGGGAAGAGGGAGGAGGGAGGAGGAGGCGGATGAGGATGAGGAGAAGGAGATGGGAAGCCCATCCAGAGACGATGCCCAGACGAGTTGCCATGATCAACGACGCGAGGGAGCATATAGAGGAACACAGGGATGCAGAAATCGTCGTAACCCAAGAGGGGGAATAAGAAGGAGGAGTCCGAGCAGGAGGAGGAGGAAGAGAAGGATGAGGAGGACCCGTGTAAAACCAAGAGTCGTCAACGATGTTGGAATAAACCCTCCCTCCAAGCTCCCTCTTCACATGCCCTTCCCTGGCAACGCGCAGAACAGCTCATGCAGCACCACCACATCGAAAACGGGGAGACGATTCGCAGACAGAGGTCGTGGCGCATGGCATTCAAGGTAGCCAACCAAGAGCCCACCAGTTGGACGTGGCGTGCACTGCATTGGCAACCAGGAGAGAACTCACGGCAACGTGACCCGAGACACCACGGCGGCCAGCGAAAGCGTTGGGACGACGACCTCGTCAGCTTCCTTCAAGAACATCGACCCGACCTGGACCCAGCGCCCACACCAACCAATGAGCATGGCAAACCGAACGACTTCATTTGGGTTCGCTCAGCTCAAAACACCACCACGTGGTCGATACTCGAGCACAATTGCATCAACACTTCGCCGACATTCACAACCAGGTTTTCCTCCTCCTTTCCTTTTCCGTCATAACTGTTGTGTGTTGCGCAGATTCTTTTTTTGTATATATCGCAGATCTTATGCATGTCCGTATGTTTACAGGAGGCCACGGCCTCGCCCACCTGGTCTTAGCAGGCCTGGACTGCTGTCCGATGTGGTGGTTCGTTCGCTCGTTCGTTCCTACAAGGATTCATTTGCACTGATTGAACTGCCTCGTTGGAAGACAACCGCTTGAAGACCCGAAAGCAGGCCAAAACACGTTTTTTTTTTCCCCGTGAATCCAGCGTGAAGGATCAATGTGAGTGAGTGTTGCGCCATGACCATCCTGAACCGTGCCAGAGCGCCATTCCTGGGTCTACAACACCGCGAGCCAACGTAAGTGCTGCACCTTCATATACCTGCACTTTTCCTAAACACCCTTCCTGGTACGTTGACCACGGGAATCGGTGAAGTTCTTGCAACGTTGAAAAAGGAGAGTGCGCTCAATCCGTAACACTGTTTAAAAAGGAACCACGCTCAATCCGCGCTCAATCCGTAAAACGAGAGCCACATTTTGTAGCGCTAAGGCGAGAGCCATGTAGCGCTAAGACGAGAGCCGCTGTTTGAAAAGGAACCGCGCTCAATTCGTAAAATTCTTGTCGAATTGTAGAACTAATGTGCGCGGCTCTAAGGCGAGAGCCACATTTTGAACATGGCCCCACTTCGTGAAACCCCTTTGCAAATGTTTAACCAAATGTGCGCGGCGCGAAGGCGAGAGCCACATGTTGAAAACGACCCGCCCTCCGTCTGTGACACTGTTGCCAATGATTAGACGTCAGGGTCATAAATGGTGAGGACGTCTCAGGCGAAACGCCCGGCCCGCCCTTTCGACCGGCGTCGGGATGCGACAGGGAGAAATTGTTACAAGAAAAAAAAAAGGAGGAGGGGAAGGAGGAGGAGGAGGAGAGCGAGGAGGAGGAAGAGGGAGGATAAGGAGGAGGAGGAGCAGGAGGAGGAAAAGGAGGAGGAGGAAAAGGAGGGGGAGGAAGGAAAAAGGAGGAGGAGGACGACGAGCAGGAGGAGGAAAAGCACAAACAGAAGAGCCAGAAGCCTCTTGATTGCCTCTCGGACTCTTTTCGGATGTCGCTTGGAAGCTTTTTGGAGGCCTCTTGGGGCGCCTGGGGGGGGGCATCTTGGTGGGTCCAGGGCCGTCTTTGAGCGTCTTGGATGATTCGGGATCCTCTTGAGGCCTCTTGGGGGTCTCTTGGGAGCCTCTTGGAGGCCCTTCGGGCGCCTCTTGGAGCCGTGTTGGCGCCTCTTGGGGCCCTCTTGGGGTGCTCTTCAGAGCTATCTTGAAAGACATCGATATATATATATATATATACGAGGGGAGTTTCAAGTAGCCTTGCCATTGTGGAGTGCCTATAGTCTCCTCTTGGGGTGCTCGTTGGGCGCACTTGGAGCGCTCTTGGACGCTCTTTGGGCCGTCTTGGGGCTCTCTTGGGCCCCTCTTGGGGCCCTCTTGCGCCACGTTGGAGCCATCTATAGACCTCGGATGGCAATCGGGGCTTCCATTGGAGCGAGTTGTGCCACCATGCAAGAGGAGGAGGGAGGGAGGGAGGACGCGGGCGAAGTCAGACAAGGACGGGACGGGCGGCTCAGGGGTCAGAACGTTCCCCGAGCGTGTGGCGCGGCCGGCCCCGCCGCTCGGCACGCGGCGGCTGCTGCGACATCGGGCCAGGGGCCGCGGGGCCCCGTGCGGAAAGACGAGTGACGCGAAAAAGCCAAACACATGGATGTTCTTTTGGTTTTTGAAGGATGTTGGCCTCTTGGGGCCTACTTGGTGAGCTCCTTGGTCACTTGGAGTCGTCTTGAGGCGGTCTTGGGGCCTCTTGGAGCATCTTGGAAACCATCTTGAGCGATCTTGCGCTATCTGGGGCCATCTTGGAGACCTTCTTGCACTCTCTGAGGCCCTCT